GAGTGAGAGGATGATTAGTGAAAAGTTAGTTTCAAGGGTAGAATGCCTTGTGGTAATCTTTTAACATTTTATGATAGCTTATATATACTATTTTTTTTAGAAATATCAAATGTCTCCGAACGTATTTTCTTTTTCCAACAGCATGTCAGCATAATATAATCAGAACCGTTCAAATATTTAAACCGGTGGTACATTTATAGTTTAAGATTTTAATCTTTTTCTTTAACAAGAAAAAATTGTTTGGTAACAAATTAAAATTCGTTTGTTCTTGTGCCAATTCTGAAGCAACAGAAATTACAATTAGTTCATTTTCATGTGTCTTTTGAGTTTGCCATTTTTTACGATTTTATTTGGTTTTGAGGTTAAACAAAGAAAGATGGCAAGTAGGTGAGGTAGCCAGGTAGGTGAGTAGGAAAAGTGCAATTTGTCACATGTTTATTTCAACTCTTCAGTTGTAATTTGTAAATGGTCGCAAGAGACGGAGAAACTAATATTATTCTTCATAAAATAGTAGAGTGAATTAGGTAAATGGCAAAATATAAAAAATGTATGTAACAAAAATGTATTTTGTTATCAAGGGTTAATTGGGTAAATTATATTTTAAAATCTAACCAAATACTACTTATGTAGCCAAATCTCTTTTGTTAGATTTTGGAATATAATTTTTTTGGGTTATCTATCTAGTTAACCTTTGTAATCAATTGTTCACGCGGACAATGATATAGATAAATAAATAATAAATGCTCCAAATGGAGCCACGTTTCCACTTACAAATCCTTATCTCTTCTTTGTTGAATAGAAAAGGAATACAATGTGAATTTTCTAACTAGTACTACTATATATAATAAAGTTAATCGTTGTGTCAACCATTGTAGGTGTGTTTGTCTTAAGAGATAGTAATTATGGGATCAATGGCTCAGAAATCAGTTTTGATGTTATGCGGAGAGTTCATGGAAGCCTACGAGACCATAGTACCTCTCTACGTCCTCCAAGCGTTTAGCGTTAGCGTCCACTGCGTTTCTCCTGGTCGCAAAACTGGCGACAAGTGCGTCATGGCCGCTCACGATCTCCTTGTCCTCGAGGCAAGTCTCTAATCTTTCACCTTTTCTCTTCATTTGGATTTTTGTCATTCGATAGTCGATACATTATTGGCTTGGTC